GTGAGGCCTATTGAGCCTTTTTAGTAAGATTCCTAAGAGTGCAATCAACTAATAATGAAAAGATGGACATTAAAAGAATGATCGCCAAAGATAAAAAAATTGATTTTAAGTGCCCATTTTCCACTTTGGGAAGTGTATAGAGTGGAGAATATTATTGAAATCTCCCTTTTTCTACATAGGTGGAATATTATGATCCTAGTTTAGATGCATGGGCATCAACTACGAGTATGATAGAACACAGAAGTAGCGTGGGTGTGGCTGTTTTAGATGGCTTTCTTTATGCTGTTGGCGGGTATAATGGGCAGGCAACTGTCAAGACAGTGGAGCGGTATAACCCGCGTATGGCAGAATGGCAGATGATCACCAAAATGACCACAGAACGAAGCATGCTAGGGGCAGCATCGCTGAATGGTGAACTCTATGCTGTGGGTATGTACCTAAAATAATATTCTCTCTTAATTTCAGGAGTGTTAATTTTAATTCCACGAAAAATCATGAGCCATATTTCATGAGTATTTAATTTCATGATTTTTAGGGAAAGGTAGAATTGGGATGTATTGAATTTTGTGATTCTTCTATTCTTTGAGCTCAGAACAGTATCAAGAGAATTAAGAATTTTATTGTACACAACTGCAAACAAAGACAATCAAGCTAACAACCCCAAATAGTTACATAGTACTGTTAGACAGTTTTAACTAACAGTACTATGTACACATAAACACATAAACATAAACATAACATTTACACTCTTGTTTACTTTGAAATCAGCCATGAAATGACATCTGAGCAATATATGCAAAAATTCCAACTGGTGATGTGTCACTACTTAGATCTTAGGGTAGTGGTCTGCTGAGTGGGAGATCATGGGATCAAACCCCGGCTGGACCAACACTCAAGGTCTTAAAATAACTGAGGAGAATGTGCTGCCTTTGTTGTGACATCTGCAAGTGGTTATACATTCTAGTCTTCTAGTCACTGTGCTGTTTCTTGAAGGACGTAAAAGAACCTACACTGCTGTTCATAAAGTATAAGGGGCGTAGACCCCAGTGGTGTGGTACAACCTTTGACGGGGTGGGTAATGAAGGAAATGATGCAAGTCTTGTTTCATCATCTGTCACTGTGTTGGGTCACCGTGGAAAATTTAAAAATATATATATATATAAAATATATTAATAATAATAAATGTGACACTGAAAAATTACATGCATGACACCATTTTTATGAATCTTTGTTAAATGTTGCAGGGGGTTATGATGGCATTTTTGACCTTTCATCAGTGGAGTGTTACAACAGTCAGACAAATGTCTGGTGCCAAGTCTCACCAATGAAAACGCCACGCTGTCTGGTTGGTGTTGCAGTTCTCAACAGTCAGCTGTTTGCTATCGGTGGCTGCAATGGACAGAGCTTAGAAACTGTTGAAATTTACAGCCCTGATAAAAACACATGGACTATCATTGCACCAATGAAACAGCGGCGTAGTGATGTTGGAACTGCAGTTGTAGATGGTCTGCTGTATATTGTCGGTGGCTCTGATGGTATGGAATATCTGAATAGCATGGAAGTGTTTCATCCGCAGAAAAGAAAGTGGACATCTTCTACAAGTATGCAAACAACTCGCAAGAGATTTGGCTGTTGCTCCTGAGCATTTTAAATTCTATAACAGTTGGACTTGATTATTTTCAGTTTTGTCTTATGGTGAAAATATTTAACAAAATGGCTGACTAGATTATCATGTCAGGAGTATGGGATGTACAAAAAACACCTTAAATCAACATGAACCAAACCTAGGAAAAATAATGGTTATAAGAAAATTACTGTTACTGTAAATATCTTCAGGGCTAGCTCATAGCACACCAGTGAACAGTGTTAAATAATAATAAACTCATTAAGCAGTGTAACAGTTGAGAATTACCTTGTGTGTTTGCTGTGTGTTTTATTGTCAGTCATCATTATGGAGTCTTTGGGGCCGAGGAACAAGGAGAAAGGGCTGTATTTGCATGCTATTAAGTTTATGAAGGGGGCACGGGATTTGGTGAAACTGGCTAAGGAAAGTTGGAAGCAGCAAAAAAGGGGACCCGGGCCCAGTTGTCCAAACATTGGATTATCCACCAGATAAATTTCTATCCAGTCAATGAGTATTAGGAAAAAAAATTGTGCTATCCATCCCACATTTGAACAACCAGGTCCTGCATTTTCTTAGATGTCCTCAATCCTGTCATGTGGTTACTAATAAATGTACTGTACCACAGTCTTCTTTTCTACCTGTTTATCTTTGGGTGTCTGGTGAAGAAGGAATCTGTAACTTCTGCAATCCACGCATTAACCTTTTCCCTACCAGCATTGGCCAGGGTTAAAAGTTAACAAAATTAATAATTTCAAATTCCATCCTGGAGAATGCGGAAAAACACAAAATACATCAAACACCCATGAGTAAGAACCTGCATTTTCCCATAAATAAAGGTAATTAGCACAATAATTATTTTAATTAATTGGTTCTTAAGTAGGTTCTTAAAAATACATTGTACCTAAGATTATTAAGTGGTTCTTAGCCTTTAATTCCTTTTATAAAATCTTCATACCATTACATTGCAGTTGGAGTAATAAGGCACCTATGTCTTCAAAGAGGATCCTGAATGTTGACTTATCTTATATGCCCAAATGTACATAATTTTTTTTTATAGATTTTAGAAAATAAGAACCAGTTTCAAATTTTAGGCTTAACCAAGTTCTTACTCGCAGGTTTTTACTGTAGTACTATGTGAAATTATCTGTTTAGAATAATCCCACTGTAGGGTCTTGTCCACAGACTCATTTATAGTCTCTTATGGCCTGTTTACATGGATCCCATGTATGTATGTACATGCATCCCCTGTGAGTGTGGTCACCCAACACTTCTCCCAAAAGAGGCTGAACCTTGCCTATTGTTCGACTGAATACTGGCCAGTCATATCTCAGTTAATAATGAATTGCTTCAAAAGAGCCAAAAGGCAGTTGTTTGTACTTCAAAGTTACACGGATCAGGCTCCATGGTTAGGGAAAGGTAAAAATGGGGTGAGACAGCAAAAATCCGTAAGTGAACCAAGCAGAGTAATCCCAGCATAAAAAAACCTTGAAATGTTTATAGAGCGGTTTTCACTTGACTGTCCTAAAACCAAAACCAAAGTAAATACACTAGCCAACCAAAGGGCGTAGTAAAACCAAAACCAAACCAATTCCTCAATTACTTTCGACAGTCAAGTGAAAACCGCTCTATCATTTCAAAGTGATTTTCACAATAAGAGTGTCAATTTTTCTTTATTTTTATTTTACTGGCAAATTGATATTATTACAAGCTAGTTTGACTGTGTTGTATTATGAACTGAACAACACGACTATGTACTAGGTACTCTAAACTCTTCAAGCAAAAATAATGTTTCATAAACAGCAAAAAACATATTCAAAACAAATAGGGGCTGTTATGGCTTAGGCAGAGGCAAAAATGGCAGAAGACACCTTACAGTATTTTCCTATTGACTTCTGCAAAACTATGTATTCAAAAGACCCCAGTCTGTGTTTTGCAGGCATGAAAACAATTTNAAGCAAAAATAATGTTTCATAAACAGCAAAAAACATATTCAAAACAAATAGGGGCTGTTATGGCTTAGGCAGAGGCAAAAATGGCAGAAGACACCTTACAGTATTTTCCTATTGACTTCTGCAAAACTATGTATTCAAAAGACCCCAGTCTGTGTTTTGCAGGCATGAAAACAATTTTTGGTCAAATATCACTATGTGCAAATTATTTAAATATGATTACTAAAACAATGAAAATTACACCAGTTTCAAATTACTCATAATCTGACCTACCAAGTGTCACTAAATTTTTGCAGGTTCTAATTTTTGCAAGTTTTGCATTTTTTTCTCACAGTCTTCAAATTTTTTCCACTTAAGCAGAATACGGAAAGGAAAGTTTGGCCATAATGTTGCTGATCGATTGCAGGAGCAATCATCAGCCCCAGTATAGGCTGTAAAAGATGTTACTATGATAGAGTGATACTAATGATTAAAATGTTTGACATCTCTGCTAGCACGAGAAAACAGCTGTCATTTTGTGATGCCACCACTGGTTTCCCTGCAAAATGACATCTGAGCAACCATTGTAGAAATTCCATACTGATGACACGTCACTACCCAGATCTGGGTAGGGCTTCTGATTGGTCGTGTCGCTAGAGAAATTTACTTTAAAAGATCAGAAGCAATACCCAGACCTGGGTAGTGAACATTATCAGTATGGAATTTCTGCAGTCGTTGCTCAGACGTCATTTCACAGGGCAACCAGTGATGGCATCGTTAAATGTCAGCTGTTTTGTCAGGATACATCTCTGCATGAGGGGGCACTTGAAATGTGGGCACATGTAGTTTATAAACAAACCCCAAGTGTTGTAATTCGAGTAAATTAAACAATACATTCTCAGCTGAAAAACCAGTATTTCACAATGTTATTGCAAAAATTTGGTCTTACAAAATACAAAATATCTCCATTCTCAAAATTAAACACAGGACTGCAAAAATTTGGTGTAACATGGTAGAGGTGACTAGTCACCACTGGGGTAATGTCACTACAACCTCTTTCCCAGGGTTCTTGCCCACCCCTCCCATATTCTCTCACTCCGTGGGGATGGATATAGAAGAGAACCCCCTGGGAACGAGGTTGATGTCACCTAAAAAATCTTGGTCAAAATTGCCTAAGTTTTTGTTTTAAGTCCCTAATGTTCAACAACATTGCCTAAAGAAAAGGAACATTCTTTCATTTTTAAAAATTTAAGACTACATTTTATGCATTAAAATGCCTCTGGTCAGTCAGAAATGCCAAAGGAGTTTCATCAATTTGAAAACTTAAGCTTAATACTACTACAAGTATATGGACCTGCTGCATCACAAACTCAAAGGAATTCTTTTGTAGGATTTCTCTGTTTTTCCCACAAAGAAGGTTAGAGAGCGCACATGTTAGAAAACTTACGTTACTTCCTATTTTTCAGCTGAGTAGAAAGCCAATCGAGTCCTTCATATAAACCATCACCACTTGTTGCACAAGTTGCTTGAATGTACCATTGACGATTTCGTAAGCTGTGCAGGCCTAACTTATCAGTTACTTCAGCAGCATTCATGGCATTCGGCAAATCCTGAAAAACATAATGACATGCTGTATAAAAAAGATCTAATGACACCACCTACACTGTAGAAGCCCTGGCCTCTTACCCGCAGAACAGTCAACTGAAGTCAAAATTCAATAAAATCCCCAAATTTTATTTCGTAAAATGGGTTATTCCAGAAAAAATCCACACTCCCCCAACAGAAGGCATGCTGGAAAATCTCATAAGAGGAGGAGTTTAATGGCTCTGGAAATCCAAATAGGAGGGGGATCCTGAAAAACATACATCCTCTGGAGTTACTTTCATCAATGTTTGGATAGATTCAATCGACAAGTTTTGGATAACTGCTTTGCATTATTGTATTATTCTTTCAACCTACAGACGTCTTACTTCTATACAATTATTTTAAGTTTCCATCCATAGGCTTGCCTTTATTACTTTTGTAGAAGTGACATACAATATCTTAAAGACATCAAAAACATTAAGGAAAGTCGTGTAATTCGTAAAAAAATTGCTCAATTCAAGTAAAGTAAGCAACTTTCCCGAGGTCAGTGCTATTTCAGGCTAATAGAATACCACTAAATCATCTCTCTCATGTATAGACCAGGCTTAAAATTCACCATGTTTGTCACATGTTTTCTTTTTTGTGTTACTGTGCATCTGTTCAGTAATAGGCTGATTTAGCAAAAGGAAGGGAACATCAGTTGATGACCGGAAAGCACACGAAAAGGACGAAACATGACTTCCAGTGCTCAATTTACCGCTCTGCCATTGGTCAAGCCAGTTGTTTGATTTGCACGCGCCGTCGTCAAGTCATGTTCCCGTTCTGATGATAAAACATCCTAATAGAACACAGAAGACTTGGTATACGTAAGAGTATCAGTGACACAATCTCCTGCACATGGCTAATGTGCCACTTTCAGAGTTCTTTATACAAATTGACATCATCTGCACTGTGTTACTGAACAGAAGCACAGCAACATGGAATCTTTTTTAGACCTTCACATTCTAAGATGAGGACAAATTAATACAAGAATAAGATTTTCTTAATGCTCAGTAGTGTGCGTGCATGGGCCAGCATCATTTTGGTGGAAAAACATGATAGCCATGTTAGCGAAACTTTAAAAGGTTTCTCAATTTGCAATTGGGAGAGGGCTTAACCTCCTTCAATAAAAATAACTGTGTGAACTTTTCTGGTAAAAAAAGAGTACAATTTCTATAGCTTTCTGGGGATATATTTTCAGAATATGTGATGAAAGTTAAAGTTAAATCTCATACCCGTCGTGAATCTGAAGGTCTATTAGTAGGGACCTTAAGATACATCATTTCTGTGTACAGGTATGGGTTTGTGTAGCCGTTAATGTGGGTAGACTGCCTCTTATCCCAGAGAAACGATTAGGCATCTGGGTAGAAAGGTGATGCTGATATCACATCTGGGAAATCATGGTCTCCTCTTGTATAACAACATGGCAAACATGTTTTGCTACTCGTACCGACAGGTAAACTGTGTAAACATGTTCGTCTACACGTACCCGCAGGTAGAAACTGTGTATCTTAAGGTCCCCACTTTTATAACTACACAGGGTCCACAGAGGATGGTAAACCTGTGCAGCAAGTTTGCTTGTAACCGACTTGTGTCGTATATATTAGTATGAGATTAAGTTAAAAGCAAATTTTTCGACAGGAGCTACCAAAAAACCAAGGTTTTACACCATTTCTGTAGCTATGACTTGTTATTTACCTGTTTATTTGCAAAAACAAGGACAACAGCATCCCTGAGTTCGTCTTCACTCAACATCTTCACCAATTCGTCTTTCGCCTCAGTGGCCCGCTCTCGATCATTGCTATCCACGACAAAGATTAGACCTATAGAACAGGTTATGAATACAGTTTAAACACTCTAGGAGTTAAAGCTTTAGAAGAAGAAGAAGAAATAAAAGTTACTATACAACAATACGAAAGCAATTCGGAAAATATACCTTGGGTGTTTTGGAAGTAGTGTCGCCAAAGCGGCCTGATTTTGTCTTGGCCTCCGACATCCCATACAGTAAAACTAATGTTCTTGTATTCAACTGTTTCTACGTTGAAACCTAAAAACAAAAATTTTGAACGTCGTTACGTTACTAACATAGAGTAGTAGATAAAATAAATACGATAAAACGACATGGTGTCTAAAAAACGGAGAGCAGAAGAGCTTACCAATTGTTGGAATGGTAGTGACAATTTCACCAAGCTTCAACTTGTAAAGAATCGTCGTTTTCCCGGCAGCATCAAGACCAACCATGAGAATTCTCATTTCTTTCTTGCCAAAAAGACCAGAGAAAAGTTTAGCGAACACACCTCCCATGATGAGAGTTCGTCGACGGGAGAAAACACTGACTTAAAAATTTCAAGTACTTCAACGGCGAAAAACGATTCGGCGAGGAAGCGACGTAGCACAGAGCACCCAAGTTCCACGGAAGGAATGTGTGAGGAAGTTTATAATAATGACGTTAACGTCGTGTTCGTTAGAGACAAGACTAGAGTGACTATCTTTACCGACAAATCTGCTCCCTAACAATTTGGAAGATGTCTGGGAACTTGCATCTCGTTTGCTACTCGTTTTAAAGTTTAAACTTGCCGACTTTGCAAGATTTCAACCGGTTCTGACTTCCGGGATTCCTTTGTCACGCATCATTGCAGAATGCTGTATAACCCACTCATTTCCGTCACGCTTACAGTTGCTATCAAAATGGTCACTAAAATCCTCAATAGTTTTCACTCTATGAAAATTTTTTCTTCTTCTTGACATGAAATTCATTCTTTTCAGTCAGTTGTCAAGTTTTTATCCACATTTTTTTAGAAAACGGCAAACTTTCTTAGCATTTCAGTTTTCAGAGTTTTGTGGGTTGAGGGCAATGTAAGGACCCCCCTTGCCTAGACAATGACGTGGCTTTTCATTTTTAAAAATTTAAGACTACATTTTATGCATTAAAATGCCTCTGGTCAGTCAGAAATGCCAAAGGAGTTTCATCAATTTGAAAACTTAAGCTTAATACTACTACAAGTATATGGACCTGCTGCATCACAAACTCAAAGGAATTCTTTTGTAGGATTTCTCTGTTTTTCCCACAAAGAAGGTTAGAGAGCGCACATGTTAGAAAACTTACGTTACTTCCTATTTTTCAGCTGAGTAGAAAGCCAATCGAGTCCTTCATATAAACCATCACCACTTGTTGCACAAGTTGCTTGAATGTACCATTGACGATTTCGTAAGCTGTGCAGGCCTAACTTATCAGTTACTTCAGCAGCATTCATGGCATTCGGCAAATCCTGAAAAACATAATGACATGCTGTATAAAAAAGATCTAATGACACCACCTACACTGTAGAAGCCCTGGCCTCTTACCCGCAGAACAGTCAACTGAAGTCAAAATTCAATAAAATCCCCAAATTTTATTTCGTAAAATGGGTTATTCCAGAAAAAATCCACACTCCCCCAACAGAAGGCATGCTGGAAAATCTCATAAGAGGAGGAGTTTAATGGCTCTGGAAATCCAAATAGGAGGGGGATCCTGAAAAACATACATCCTCTGGAGTTACTTTCATCAATGTTTGGATAGATTCAATCGACAAGTTTTGGATAACTGCTTTGCATTATTGTATTATTCTTTCAACCTACAGACGTCTTACTTCTATACAATTATTTTAAGTTTCCATCCATAGGCTTGCCTTTATTACTTTTGTAGAAGTGACATACAATATCTTAAAGACATCAAAAACATTAAGGAAAGTCGTGTAATTCGTAAAAAAATTGCTCAATTCAAGTAAAGTAAGCAACTTTCCCGAGGTCAGTGCTATTTCAGGCTAATAGAATACCACTAAATCATCTCTCTCATGTATAGACCAGGCTTAAAATTCACCATGTTTGTCACATGTTTTCTTTTTTGTGTTACTGTGCATCTGTTCAGTAATAGGCTGATTTAGCAAAAGGAAGGGAACATCAGTTGATGACCGGAAAGCACACGAAAAGGACGAAACATGACTTCCAGTGCTCAATTTACCGCTCTGCCATTGGTCAAGCCAGTTGTTTGATTTGCACGCGCCGTCGTCAAGTCATGTTCCCGTTCTGATGATAAAACATCCTAATAGAACACAGAAGACTTGGTATACGTAAGAGTATCAGTGACACAATCTCCTGCACATGGCTAATGTGCCACTTTCAGAGTTCTTTATACAAATTGACATCATCTGCACTGTGTTACTGAACAGAAGCACAGCAACATGGAATCTTTTTTAGACCTTCACATTCTAAGATGAGGACAAATTAATACAAGAATAAGATTTTCTTAATGCTCAGTAGTGTGCGTGCATGGGCCAGCATCATTTTGGTGGAAAAACATGATAGCCATGTTAGCGAAACTTTAAAAGGTTTCTCAATTTGCAATTGGGAGAGGGCTTAACCTCCTTCAATAAAAATAACTGTGTGAACTTTTCTGGTAAAAAAAGAGTACAATTTCTATAGCTTTCTGGGGATATATTTTCAGAATATGTGATGAAAGTTAAAGTTAAATCTCATACCCGTCGTGAATCTGAAGGTCTATTAGTAGGGACCTTAAGATACATCATTTCTGTGTACAGGTATGGGTTTGTGTAGCCGTTAATGTGGGTAGACTGCCTCTTATCCCAGAGAAACGATTAGGCATCTGGGTAGAAAGGTGATGCTGATATCACATCTGGGAAATCATGGTCTCCTCTTGTATAACAACATGGCAAACATGTTTTGCTACTCGTACCGACAGGTAAACTGTGTAAACATGTTCGTCTACACGTACCCGCAGGTAGAAACTGTGTATCTTAAGGTCCCCACTTTTATAACTACACAGGGTCCACAGAGGATGGTAAACCTGTGCAGCAAGTTTGCTTGTAACCGACTTGTGTCGTATATATTAGTATGAGATTAAGTTAAAAGCAAATTTTTCGACAGGAGCTACCAAAAAACCAAGGTTTTACACCATTTCTGTAGCTATGACTTGTTATTTACCTGTTTATTTGCAAAAACAAGGACAACAGCATCCCTGAGTTCGTCTTCACTCAACATCTTCACCAATTCGTCTTTCGCCTCAGTGGCCCGCTCTCGATCATTGCTATCCACGACAAAGATTAGACCTATAGAACAGGTTATGAATACAGTTTAAACACTCTAGGAGTTAAAGCTTTAGAAGAAGAAGAAGAAATAAAAGTTACTATACAACAATACGAAAGCAATTCGGAAAATATACCTTGGGTGTTTTGGAAGTAGTGTCGCCAAAGCGGCCTGATTTTGTCTTGGCCTCCGACATCCCATACAGTAAAACTAATGTTCTTGTATTCAACTGTTTCTACGTTGAAACCTAAAAACAAAAATTTTGAACGTCGTTACGTTACTAACATAGAGTAGTAGATAAAATAAATACGATAAAACGACATGGTGTCTAAAAAACGGAGAGCAGAAGAGCTTACCAATTGTTGGAATGGTAGTGACAATTTCACCAAGCTTCAACTTGTAAAGAATCGTCGTTTTCCCGGCAGCATCAAGACCAACCATGAGAATTCTCATTTCTTTCTTGCCAAAAAGACCAGAGAAAAGTTTAGCGAACACACCTCCCATGATGAGAGTTCGTCGACGGGAGAAAACACTGACTTAAAAATTTCAAGTACTTCAACGGCGAAAAACGATTCGGCGAGGAAGCGACGTAGCACAGAGCACCCAAGTTCCACGGAAGGAATGTGTGAGGAAGTTTATAATAATGACGTTAACGTCGTGTTCGTTAGAGACAAGACTAGAGTGACTATCTTTACCGACAAATCTGCTCCCTAACAATTTGGAAGATGTCTGGGAACTTGCATCTCGTTTGCTACTCGTTTTAAAGTTTAAACTTGCCGACTTTGCAAGATTTCAACCGGTTCTGACTTCCGGGATTCCTTTGTCACGCATCATTGCAGAATGCTGTATAACCCACTCATTTCCGTCACGCTTACAGTTGCTATCAAAATGGTCACTAAAATCCTCAATAGTTTTCACTCTATGAAAATTTTTTCTTCTTCTTGACATGAAATTCATTCTTTTCAGTCAGTTGTCAAGTTTTTATCCACATTTTTTTAGAAAACGGCAAACTTTCTTAGCATTTCAGTTTTCAGAGTTTTGTGGGTTGAGGGCAATGTAAGGACCCCCCTTGCCTAGACAATGACGTGGCACATGTGACGCGCCCTTCAGTAGCAACAAGTTTCCTCGACGTGGTTGAATTTTGCCGGCAAGAATTTCGTCATTTACCATTCATAAACCCTCTG